GGAAGGTGTTGTGCAGAAGCATACACCAAAATCTCTCAGCCAACATTTTTTTTCCTTTGCATCAATGATAGTAGAGTTTGTGGAGTCAACCCTCACTCTTAGCAGCCACATTCCATCTGGCATTAGAAAGATATCTGTCTACAATAGACTTTTCAGAGTTCCTATCTGCAGGTGAAGGTGTTTAGGTATATCTTCTCTCATAATTTACTGCATATTACACTACTAAACTTTTGAGCTCTTTGTTCCATGAGTGTTTAGTTTCATTTTCTGTCTTGAATCCAAAAGAACCTACTAGCATCTAACTAGCCATCAAGTGTCAGAACATCTGCTCTCCCATTAGAGTCAGGGAGAGCCTGCCTTGCCCTGCCATCACTAACGCAAACACACATTTTGGAAGGACTAATGAACTCTTCCTCCAAAAAATCCCCTTAAACTCAGCCACCTGAAAAAAATCTATGCTCCAAAATTTGATTGGCCGGAAAATAGCAGAAAACATCTTTGCTGGTCTGCTGGAGTTCTGCATACAAATTCCCTCCCACGTGTGAAAAAAGGGATGAGGGTGAGAACTCTATTCCCAAGGTTAGCTGCTGCTGAGACAACAACTAGCTCGGGAATATTTCCCTGCTGTTTTGCGCTATTCCTTCATTATTATTTCCTGGAATATTGAACTTGAGGTACCAGGTCTGCTATGCAAAACTCCACCAGATGGCAACAGAGAGTCAAGAGTTTTCACATCTCTTTGCTGCCATGTCTAGAGGTCATCTGAGTTTTACAGTCTGCATATGCTAGTCCTACCACACTATCGTATTTCTTGAAGGCATGGGGAAGCCTGGCAGGGTGTACTGGATCCCAGACCGATTATCTCACTATATTTAGGCCACTGTTACTGTGAATACAGGCATCTAATACAAACTGTAATAATGAAAAGGGAAGAAATATTCAGCATAAAAGTCACAGTGCAAATCCTGGCCTTTGGTATTTGCATCCCAAAGTCCTAAAGTCTGCATTACAATGGACATTTTCCATTAGCTCCTCTCTGCAATTTTCACACTCCCTCCCCCTTCCCGCCTCAAACGGTTGCCTCCACTGTGAACTAGGGAACAAGTAATTCATACATGGAAAACCTTAGATAATTTTTGACGCATCCAGTTCTCAGAAACTTAGTTTACTTCCTCGGTTATAATAAGTGAGCTATTAACTGTTTTTCCCAGACCCCGGGACGGTGGTGGGACTTAAGCTGGTATCCTATTGAACATGAAAAAAGAAGGAGCAACTTGTGCTTTGAAAATAAAAGCATAACCTGAATCTGAGAGAAAAGCCTACCCAGAAGATCAGTTTCCAAGGAAAAAAGTAAAGCCAGGGAAGCTAAATTAATTGCAATACAGACCCAGAATTTGTAGCACTGCAAGACTGGTGGAACATGTACTTAATCAGTAAAATTTTGGACCTGTTAGGAGCAGACAATCAAGGAGAACATATCTGAAGATTGATCTGGTTACTTCCTTGGCCTTTCTCATACATCCTAACATTACCCATTCCAGTAATATTAATTTATCCTACAACTACTGCTAGTAGCAATAGCAATAGCAATAGCAA